ATGTAAATTACCTTCATCCACGCATTTGAATTGAGTCAACGTTTTTGAATAACCTAAGAAATAAATAGCTAAATTAAAATTTAAAAAAACATTAGAATTAATGTTGTAAAAGATTAAAATATATTACATTTTATTTCTTTTCAGATCCAATCTTGAGTGCACAACAAAGCCTCTAAAGTGTCTTCCTTCAACCTACTACGTTGTTGACTTAAAACATGACCACTAGTACTAAAGACAGATTCTGAAGCAAAAATGGAGATATAAATTGCTAAAATGTCTCTTGCAATCTTTTGCGAAGTTGGAAATTTCAAACCATTCTATTTTCACCATCCTAGTATGTCAAAATATTTTTTAAGGGAAGCTGATGATATTATTTTAATTACAAATATAGAGTATGGTTAAAAAAAATAGACACAAAGATACCCAAAAGAAGATAAAAATGAGTAAATTTTTATTATTTTATATTTTTCTCATATGCAAATGATTTGATAACTCTAAAATTTATAAACAATTTAATTTAATCCTAGTCAAAAGAACCTATTTTTTCGAATAAACAATTACATGAACAAATTTATGAGAATTAAGGAGAAACAATCTACTTTTTCCTATAAACAATTACATGAACAAATTTATGAGAATCAAACCTTATTGATGCAATTGTAAGAGATGTGAATGGTAGCACACGATACAGAGAAGACGATGAATGATGGTAATGCGCGGCGGAGAAGATGGATGAGGAAGTTGAATGGAGTTTTGATGGCAGAAGAATAAATGAACGAGTCTGATAGAAGAAAATGAACGTTTTAACTTTTTTTAGGATTTTAATATCTACATTTCTCTCTCTCTCTCTCTCTCTCTCTCTCTCTCTCTCTCTCACACAATAAATACATTAATATTTATTTATTTTTAAAAAGAAACATAAAGGAATTGACAAAAAAAACCTAATGTAAAATATAAATTATATAATAAATTAACTATATTAAAATAAATAGGCGGGGCGAGAGATGTATTCCCCGTCTCCGAAATGCTCTAGGGAGAATTTTTTTCACCATCCCCGGCCCCGCAGAAGAAATTCCTCATCTTTGAAGCTCCAAACAGGACAATTCCCGCAGGAATCCTCGTTAACGGATACAAACTAACATCTCTATGTATGAATAACACCATGAGAACTCTATTATATAGAAAATTACAAAGTTAAGAGTATTATTACAAAATGAATATCTTATGAAATATTATATTCTAAAAATATTTTTTCATATATGTTTATTATTATATATTATTTATTTAAATACCGACACTTCCCTTAAATGTGGTGGCATATAAATTAAATGCATCAAACTTGTGATATATATAATCAGTTCTAGAGTCTTGTAGGGACTTTGCAACAAAAAAATGCAACCGATCATTAGAATTAATAAAGCTTGTGAAAATTTTATCTCATTTGATATTCTCATTAACAAAATGGTAGTTTATATCAATATGTTTTATCTTCTCATAGAAAATTAAACGTGAATCAATATGCAATAAAGCTTAACTATCACAGATAAGTGGGATTGGTCTTAGTTCTTCAAATTGAATATCCTTGAGCAACTACTTCAACTAAATAAACTCACATGTTAGTAGTGTTATGACCCTATATTCTTCCTTGACGTTTGATCTTGTAACTACATTTTGTTTCTTACTTTTTCAAGATATTATATTTCTTCCAACGAGTGCACAATGCCTAGAAGTGGATTGTATATCAATAGGTGAGCCTTCTCAATTAACATAAGAGTTTCTAACTATCTAAGTATTTCTTCATCTTCATAAATAAGACTTTTCTTGGAGCACCTTTGATGTATCTTATAATCTAGATAATTGCATCCATAAGTTCTTGGAATGACAATTTAAGAATTGAATTACCATACTAAGTGTAAACAAAATGTCTAGACGAGTCACTTCGTATAAAGGAATTGACTTATCATACCAACCAATATTTTATATTTCTTCAAGTCAGATAGATGTTCCCCTTAATTGAATAGGAGTTTGAAATTTTCGATTCATAAGAGTATCATTTGGTTTTGCGTTCAATAGACATATTTCTTCCAGAATATTGATAACATATTTTTGCTATTAAATTATGGAAATTTTACCCAATACCCCTGCACTTATACCCATACCCCTACATTTTAAAAAAAAACCCATTTTATCCTTATATATTTTAATATTTTATTATTTTTTTCACTTTTTAGATTTTTCAGACTTCCGAGAAATTCATCCCACGATCTATCGGAACACTTTGAAAATGACTTCTGGTAGGCTTTTTTTATCAAACCGGAAGACTTGGACAAAGAGTTCCGGTTCACAAAAATACTGTACCGGAAGACTTCAGGAAAGACTTTCGGTTTGGTAATTTTCGTGGATGTTCACCGGAAGACTTGTAGCAAGTGTTCTGGTAGCCAAAAAAACAATCCGGGAGACTTTACAAGTCTTCCGGTTTGTTTTTTTGGCTACCGGAACACTTGCTACAAGTCTTCCGGTTTGAATTGTCCAATTTTTTTAAAATTTTTTTTGAATTTTTTTATGTAATTATTTCAGAAATTTGGTACACGAGAAGAGGTTGAGTATGATGTTTTTTCAACAACTCAGACATTTGGTACATGAGAAGAGGTTTCAGAAATTCCTTTACAAATATACGATAAAGATCAGATATGCGTAGATACGTCTGATGTTTTTCAACAACTCAAAGATTTGGTACACGAGAAGAGGTAATAAGATGGATTAAAAAGATCAGAATCCGAAATAAAGTTACGGTTATCATCACTCGTTCAAATATTAAAATAGGCAAGAGAGGAAGAAGTAACAAATTAATATTTGGATGTGATAAAGGAGGAAAACACAGAGATATTGATAGTGGAACCCAAAGTGCGACGAAAAAATGTGGATGTCCATTTAGAATCAGATCAATTCCAGCGACTGATGGATCTGGATAGAAGATTGATGTAAAATGTGGAGTTCATAACCATGATTTACCTGATAGATTAGAAGGTCACGCATTTGTCGGTAGGTTGACAGTGGATCAGAAGTAACATGTTGTTGATTTGATAAAGAGAAAGGTTCCACCTAGACATATATTGCTTTCATTGCAAGAGCAAGATCCAGATAATGTCACTCGGATCACGCAAATATACAAACAGAAGAGTATGATAGAAAAAAATATAAGAGGTCCTAGAAGTGAGATACAACATTTGTTTAAGCTTATAGAGGAAGCAGGTTATGTTTATTGGAGTAGAAAAAGAGATGACTCTGAAGTAATTAGAGATATCTTTTGGGTTCATCCAGATTCAGTTAAGTTGTTGAATATTTTTCCTATTGTGCTAGTTATGGACAACACTTACAAGACAAACAAATATAGACAACCTCTGTTTGAAATTGTTGGCATGACATCAACCGGGTTGACTTTTGCTATCGCATTTGCCTATATTGAGTCTGAGCAAACTGAGACTTTTTGTTGGGTGCTAGATAAGCTTAAACAATTGTTTGTGAAGAAAGAGTTGTGTCCACAAGTGATTTTGACAGATAGAGATCTTGCTTTGATGAAAGCCATTGAAATTGTGTTTCCAAGGTCAATCAATATGCTATGTCAATTTAATATTAACAAGAATGTTGGTGCAAAACGGAAACAATATGTGGCTAGTGACATGCAAAAGAAAATTGACGAATTATGGACGAATGTTGTATGGGCTAGTGATGAGGTTAAGTATGATCAAAGGTTGAACCAACTTGAGCAGGCATGTGTTGATTGTAATGATTTTATTGATTATGTGAAAGACACATGGTTGACACCACATAGACAAAGATTTTTTGGAGCATGGATTAATCGAGTGCTACATTTGGGTAACACTACGACTAATCGGTATGTATTTATTTTTAGTATTTCTAATTTTTTTTTGAATTTTTTTAAAATATTTTAAATATGTATTAATTTTAGGGTTGAGTCTGCTCATTGGAAGTTAAAGCAAATGTTGGGGAACAGTATCGGTGACATGGTCAAATGTTGGGAGGCTATGAATGAAAACTTAAAGTTACAATTGAGTAATATTAGAGCTTCTTTTCAAAAGAGTTTTTATGAAGTTGAGCACGCCCAAGTAAGTCCATTTTACAATAATTTACGTGGTTCAGTGTCTCGAGATGCATTGAGACGCATTGTTGAAGAGTTAAAACGAGTTGATTATGTTGGAACTAACAAGGAAATATGTCGTTGTACTCTTAGAACAACCTACGGATTACCTTGTGCTTGTGAGTTGACAGGATATAGAATTGATGGTTTACCGATACCAATAGATGTTGTACATGTTCATTGGAGAAAACTAAGTATGGAAGTTAAGTTGGACGAAGATGTAGACGATGGATCAGAGGTGGATATGAGTAGTGCAATAGATGAGTTATGGAAAAGGTTTAAGTCACTGGATGTTGTTGGCAAAAGGGCATTAAAAAGTAGGGTTTTTGAACTTGCCTTCCCTACGATGACTTCCATGTGTCCACCACCTGAGAAAATAAAAACTAAAGGGGGAGTCAAGAAGAAAGACAAAAAACCAGTAGGATATGATGTTTATAGAGACCCTTCGTATCACGAGTATGTTGATCAAGCATCTCAATCTTCACAGATGAAATCTCAACCATCACAAACTTCGAAGAAATTGAAATTATCACAGTCTTCACAAAAGAAATCTCAACCATCACAGGCTTCGAAAAATTTGAAATTATCACAATCTTCACAGTCATCTAAGTAGTTCATCCTTCAATTTCCTAATCACATCAGGTCATATATTGATGATGTAGTTAATGTTGTATCAGATGGTAATTGTGGATTTCGAGTCATTGCTTCATTGCATGGATATGGTGAAGATGGTTGGCCAATGGTTCGTCGAGACTTGGGGTTTGAAATAATACATAATGAAAGATCAAGTTTGTATGTCAATTTATTTACTTATCAATTAGTAGTAGTGGGAGAATCTTTGATGATAGAGGAATTTGGTCATCAGCCACCATATAAATGGTTAACTCTACCAGATATAGGTTACGTGATAGCGAATCGTTATAATGTTGTACTTGTCTGTTTAGGAATTGAATGCTGGACTTTCTTCCCTATGACATCTTCATTTTCACCGAAGGTAGCAATTTACTGCATTGGTTTTGTAAACAGAAATCATTGGGTTTAGGTACTTAGTTGTTTTTAAATAATGCGATTAAACCTAATTCTTTTTCGTTATTTTTACTTAATATTGTGATTATTTTTTTATTTAGGTAAACATGAAAGAAGGGTTTCTATTGCCACCAGTGACAGTAGATTGGAAGAAGTTTCGTTCTCCAGCAGCAACATCTTGGATGATAGGATTTGCAGGACGTCTACAACATTGGCAATAACCTACGCCTATATTACCAACGCATTAGGAATTATAAATTATGTTACTCATTTTTAATTTCAAAACAAGAATTGTGAATTATGTTACTCGTTTTTAATTGCAAAACATGAATCGTGAATTATGTTACTCATTTTTAATTGCAAAACATGAATCGTGAATTATGTTACTCATTTTTAATTTCAAAACATGAATTGTGAATTATGTTAACACATAAACATAAACTAAATAGGTCAAATTAGTCTAAAAGTTAACACATGAACATAAACTAATTAGGTCAAATCTGTCTAAAGGTTAACATATAATCATAAATATAAATATAAGTCACTGTGAAAGACCAAGATGTAAAGCTTCAAACAAATCAGCAAACTGTGGGTCATCCTCTTCAGCACCAGTCTGCTGAAGATAACGATGAATCAATGAAGACATATGAGCCACTATAGGATCAGATGGTCTTGCTTCATATACAGGAACTGGCATCTCTGTTGTCGCATCAACACTGGGCGGTACCAGACGAGGATGCGAAACACGATAATACCACTCAAGATACTCATCATCTGTCTCATATGGGGTGGTAGCCGGTTGTCATACCCAAAATTTTGACCCATTAGATCTTCATCATCATTTTAGGATCATACTCATTTGATTATCTAACCTTAACCTGTTTCAAGCTTGTCTTTGTTAAGATACATGAATCAAGGTTCTATACAGCCGAAATCGAGGTTTCGAGGGTTAATCAGTCAATGTTTTGGATTGGTTCTCCTTAAGATAAGTCTCCACATCATCAAACATATTCCATTGGATCAAGTATGAATCCAATTTGAGGTTGTCACCCAGGAATCAAGAACAGTGCAGTTCAGGATACCCGATTAGGGAATTTGACCTCAAGATATGAATAAAAACTGTTCCTAATGACATATTGCACCTACCCATAAAATTTCATAACCATTGGATCAAAGATTCAGGAGTAATCGCAAAAGTCAGGAATTAGGGTTTTGAAAGGGGCAAGACCATAACTCCTTAACCACACATCCAATTGAGTTGGTTCAAAGCTCATTGGAAAGCTCTTGGCAAGTCCTACAAAACTCCCAAAGTGGTCCATGAGCAGAAAATGCATAGATTTGGAGTTATGACCAAATTCATTACAAGAGGGAAAAGTAACTTAGAAAAATTTCACTTTAAGGCTTGTTTTTCAGCAACTTTGAGAGGTTTTTTTGGCCATGTTCCTTTGGGAATCTGAAACTCATGAAAACATGAAAGTTGTAGAGCTACATAAGGGCTTTCCAAAATATATTAGAACTCCTCCATAGCCCTTATGAGTTGAGAGTTATGAATTCAACACGATGATGTTTCAACACTTGAGTCCCACACTTTCAATTTTTCACAAACTCATCCTTTGACCACTTGAGCTATTCTCAGCCCTTGGATCTTATTTCTATCTAATATTTAGAGGATTTGAAGAGAAGAAATGCAGAAAGTAAGGAGTTTTAGCAAGACTTGCAACTTGGAGGCAAGTGGGAGTATTTTAATCATATAATGGAAGAAAGAGAAACTTTATTGCACACTTGCAGCAAACAGCCCCCTACTGCCTAGCCACTCCAATCCCTATTGTGTCATTCATACCACTTGGGCAATGCATCAGCTGAGCCAAAGATTTCAACTTGCAGCTGCAACAAACCTCAAGCAAAGGGTTACCTTTTCAAACTCCCTCCAAAAGTGCCAAGTTACAAATCTGCCCCAAAACTCTTCATGGCCTATAAATAGAACCTTCCTCCCACTCCATCTCACACACCAGAGCCATCCTAAACACAAAAAACCCATGGTTCTCCTTCTTTCCATCTTTACTTGAAATTGAAGAAATCTCACAAAATCACCATTTTTACCAAACTTGCATCTTTCACACCAGAACCTTCTCCAAACATTATACCACTTCAAAAACCATGTACACACCCTTAAAATGACCCTCTGAAGCTGTTCCCACCATTGGTTTCTCCAAAAAAAAATTGTATCAAAAAGTCAATTGTTCACACACCATAGTTTGACTTTTGTGCATCTTTCATACCAAATCACTACATAGACCCATTTCCATCAGTTTGGCACTTTAGACACCTCATATTAATGATATTCTAGCTGTTCAAAACCTCAAACAACAACTGGAAGTACATTTACTCCAACTGTCCACAAACTTGCACTTTTCTTTAAGGAGAAGCAAAATTTAAAGGAAAGAAAGATCTCTGGATTTCTTGGCAGTTGTCTTGCTATTGGAGGTCTACAAGATGTCTTCCAAGGTTGTTGAAAATGATTTGCATAGGTTTGTCATGTGATGCATCTATTCTTCAAAGTTTGACATTGTTATGCTAGATTGTGTTTATCTGTTTTAAACTTGTTAGAGGATCATGACTCATGCTTGAAACATGTTTGAATATGTTTAAAACATTGTAATGCTCAATTTGCAACTTCATGCTATGTTAGATCAGTTTGGTATGCTTTAACAATGTTTAAATGGACCAAGTGGACATAGGACTGTTTTTGGTTTGTGCAGAGGATTGTCTTTAGAGTTAGTGTGAGTTGGAACCTGTCATAGATTGGATTCATGCCTTGTCATGTTAGGGTCCTTGTTTGTTGTCAGGATTTGTTTTGGATTGAGGTTGCCAAACTCACTACTGGCTGTTTAGACCTTTTGTTGGAGTTCAATTTGAGATTTGTGTTATAAGTTGGTGTTTGAGTTTGGTTTTGTAAGGACCATTTATCACTGTCATGGAAATTTGAGATGCTGCTCAATTCTAAGTTAGTTTCCATGACTGATCATTGAGTTGTGACTGTTAACTGAGTTTGGTTTTGGTTCATGCTAAGTTCATGTGGCTGCTACTATAGACCTGCTAGGAGTTTAGGACTCAGTAGAAATCCTTGGCTGGCTGAGTTTGTGCTGAAATCTGCTTTGGTTGGTTTGTCAGTCTCATGAGCCTTTGTTTTGATTACCTACTGTCAAACATGTTGCTTTATTCACTACTTGTGTGTTTTAAGATTGATCGTACTCTACCTCTTTGAAATCCTTGAGGTTTTTTTTTTACAATTTGTGTATGTAAGGATGCATCTTTGGGCTTTAGTAACTTGTGTGCTATTATGGCAAGATCCATCTTGAACTGCTGGTTCCGCTTTCATTATTGCTCATGTGAATTGATGATTGTCATGTAAAATGCAATCTGGGTTTGTATGTTGGTTTATTCCATTAATGAAACATATGGCTGCTTCTGTTTGGGATGGGTTTGAGGCCTTGACTTTGAATCAGTTGTAGGCCACTCTGCACTTGAGGAGCCTTTATAGAATGTGCTTGATTTTGTTTTTGGATGGTATGCCATTTCTATTTGTGTTAAGTTTGGTTTCTGTTCAGACCAATTTCTGTTTTGATTAAAAACTGCATGTGTATGACTATGCCTTGGTGATGATGAGATGACCTCTGCCACAAACTGTTATTGAGCTGCTTTCATAGGACTCAGGCCTTGGTTTCTAGATTCAAAGGCATTTTGGTATTTTCTATCTATGCTGGTAAGATCATTTTGCTTTTGTTCTGTTGCAAGCAATTTTGAGGGATGTCTCATTTGCCACCAGCTTCACCTACTTGCCAATCCATGATAATTGACATTGGACTCCTAACTCATTTGTTTAAGGTAAGAGTTTTTAGATTTGGCAAGGTGATACCAAAATCTGTGGTTGCTATCCAATATCCAGTTTTTAAGGCATGTTGACTTGAGAAGCCTCAAGCTTTGGCTGGCAGGTGGTTTTAGAGATTATAGGCCAGGTTTATGGTTTTGGAATAGTTTTGGAGGATGCCTGTGTTGAGATGATGATGTTAGCTAGTGTGGACCTGTTAGCATTAGGTGGAAATGTGGAGAGGGCTGTTACCACAGTTTTGTTTGGATTTGTAACCGGTTATTGTTGGACATTTATGCTGAGCCTACTATCCATAATTTTGTTGGGAGGAGTTTCAAGCTTATTTCTCATACTAACTTGTTAGTGAGAGAACAATCATCCTATCATGTAGGATTTGGATTAGACTGTTTGTTTTGGACTGTGTAAGCTTACAGTGGTGCTGCCAATTTGTTTTGACATTGTGAGTTTGTTCAATTCATGCTAGTTTGTTTTTAGGTTGTCTTTAGGACAATGTTTGTGGTTTGCTGATTTTGGTGAAAAAGCTGTATATGATGATGCATACTGTTGAGCAGTTAATGAGGGTTTAGGTTTGACATGGTGATGTTAATGCTTGCTGCTGCCAGTTCTGTTTGCATTTGTCATTGCTGGAGGTTGTGTTAAGGCAATTTGGACTGTAGGTTTTTTGCATAGGCTTTGATTGATGTTAATTGTGTTGGGTTGTGGTAGCAAGTTTGATGCCTACCTCTGTTCATGAGCAATGTATTTAGGACTTGAGTGGACTTTTGTTTACACCATTACTGCTTCTATTTTCCAAACACATGATCATGCCATTTTCCTGTTGATTAGCTGTGGAATTGTGCTGGCTATTATTTTCACTTTAAGTGTGTTAACCTTGGATGTCATCAATTTTGTTCTCAAGTTATTACCATGTGGTGTATGTGAGATATACAGCTTATAGGGTTGAGGGCAATTCCTGTCATGGATTTTGCTTGAATCTTAGTTGCAAAGCAACACCAACTCAAAAAACCAACTTTTCCCTTTAATGTTTTTAAGCAAATGCCTCTGTTGGAAGTCACTCCACAACATATTTGGAGCATGTATAAACCTTCAATCAATTTTGAATTTAACAATTTGGACCCCTCATTGATATGCATCATGACTGTTTTTGTTCCTTCAACATCATTTCATTAGTTTGCAACTCACATACTCTTTTTTGCTCTATTGATTTTTGAATAGCATTTCCTGTTGAAATTCATTCCATAACACATTTGTAACTTGCTCAAGCCACTTTCTACCCTTCATTGCATCTGTTTCAACTCATTGTGTTTCAAAACGCATCTCAAAGCTTTCAAA